TATAATTGTATCTTAGGCCCTCTGGATCGTTGCCGGTGATATTGTTAGTCTGAAAGGCGTCACCGTCCATTGGAACAATCCTTGTCCGGGTACTGTGAACGCTGTGTATTGCCTGCTTCCTGTTACCATTGGAATCTGTCAATATCCGGACCTCAATTGTGCTTATACATTTTGCTTTCCGTAATAGAAAGTTCATTCTAGGTACCGGATATGCATCCTTTTCCATTTTCTCCTTCAACAGTCTATAGGCGATGCACATTCTCAATTTGTTGTTTTCTTTCCCTACTAGTACCACCGCTGCCTCGTCCCTTCTCCCTTCTTCGTCCCCTTTCCCCTCGCTCTGCGCAGCTCCAGTTCGCAACACTTTAATGTACTGCGTGTTCCCGCCAAGAAGTCTATGCCTGGTAAAATTCCACCTGCCACCTCCGTTAAGACCATGAATGTTATCCTAAATGAACTTCCGTTAGCTAGTGTTATTTCCGTTTTCGTGCCGATCCATATACCATGTTATCTCAGATCCAGGTACTTGCTTCTGCTGATCGATGCCCCTGTGTCTATAACTTCTTTTGCCGATTCTATTCTTGCTTTTATTTGAAACCCATCACAACATAGATTTTCTCTCGTTGCTGGACCTTTTTCGCCTAAGCTGTCAGCTTTATCTCCTCATGCCTCCTGCGTTTCCCGGTCCTGTTCTGCAACATTCTGTTTTTCTCGTGCCGTTTCTTCCGCACAACCAGCGGTCCCTCCGCAACGCATGCAAATATCGGGCCTTAGATGTTGTTGAATTATTTGGTTGGATCGTGCATGGAAATCCATTGGTTGTATTGCTTCCACTTCTTTTGCCAGCTTTAGAAATTCCGTTAGAGTTTTGAACCCGGCTCTTCTCGGGTAGAGTTAAATTTTGCTTCTACAGTTTTTGTACACCCGGTCCAGTTTCTCTTCCTCCGACAGTTTCGTGAATCGCATCAACTTCCTTGGCCCCATTGCGTGCTCCCAACTGTTTCGGTCTATCGTTGCCTTAATTGGGATATTTGGGTCTCCAGCTCATATTTCGGCGGTAGAAAATATTCGAGCAGCACCATCGACAGTTGTGTCCATGAGTTTATCCGAGTTGGGGTTGTGTTCAACCAGTCGGAGGCTATTCCTTCCAATATGAATGGCATTGTCTGTACAAGTTGATCCTTTTGTATCCCGTATCCGGTGGCCCATTGTTCCATCTTCTCCAGGAACTTCAGTGGGTTCGTTGTTCCTTGGTATCAGCTTCGCACTCGGTCCACGTTTTCTACCTCTACTTTCCCCTCATTGGTTTCCTTTGTGTTATTCATGTTTTGTTCTTCCGGCTTGGTTATCACAATCTCGGGTGTCGTTTTCGGGCTTCTGTCTCTCTCTAATTTTGCCGTTAGGTGCGTTAATCTTTGTTTCACCGTTTCAGTGTGATCACTTTTTTTGGTGAACGTTGAACTGATCGGCGCAACTCCTCGCTTTTTCCTGATGCATCTACATAAAACTTGCGTATTCTGCTACTTTGGTTTTCGTCGCCACAGGAGACTCGGAACTCAGCCGGAAAGACGGTTTGTTGTGGACCCTAATGTCAACCAGAGATAAGTTGTTGTTGTTGGACCCGAAAGTTTACTCGAGAGAAGTTATTGTCGGACTCTAAAGTCAGCCAGAGGTAAGTTGTTGTTGTTGGACCCTAAAGTCAACCAGATAGAAGTTGTTGTTGTTGGACTCGAAAGTCAACTCGAGAGAGGTTGTTGTTATGGAACCTTGAAGTCAGCCAGAGAGAAGCTGTTGCTGGACTCTGAAGTCAGCTCGAGAGAAGCTGTTATTGTTGGACCCTAAAGTCAGCCAGAGAGAGTTGTTGTTATGGGACCCTAAAGTCAGCCAGAGAGTTTTGTTATAGGACCCTAAAGTCAGCCAGATGGAGTTGTTGTTACTAGGAAACTACGGGGCTAACTACAATGTATAAAGCGGACTTGATGCGCGTATCTTGTCCAAGCAAATATGACTTTGCTGCGGACTACGGGCTGTGGTTAATACCTCACCCGATCGCTACCTGCTGTTGAGTGCCGAAATACGGGTGTGGTCACCTTTATATAGGGCCTAGCAAGGTGCAGTGTGCCCGCTGCCTGTGCGGGATTTCCCTTTCTTAGTGTGCCCGTGCAGGTGCCTGGCCTAGTGTGCCCGTGCGCGCTTTCAAGTTTAAATTTCCCTCTCACGTCCGTGCTCCAGCTCACCAGGGCCCAACATGGAACTGGGGTTCCTTGTTTGCGCCGTTGGAATTTCGTTGTTGATTGATTGCAAATGTAAAAATACGGCATTTCAACGTACATTAACATCGCTGCAAATAGATCTGCTCCACACATTGCAAAGTAGCTAGTCACTGTTGCCGATGGTGGTCTCTCAGCTCATTGTGCTGCATTAGCCTTACTAAAGTAAACTCTTTGGCCATTTTCCAAACGCACTAGTAAATGTACAACAACTAATCGCAACTATTCACTAACTTCACTATTACTGACCTATCTGTCCTTTTGGATGTATCAAACATTATCTTCTTTTGAACGACAACAATAAACTGGATATCCATCGTTCCCAGTGTTTGTTCGCACGTTTATGCACCATCTGTATCGCCACAATGTCGTGTAGATGGGGATCAGTGACTGGATCAGGAATTTCAGCTGATATGATGTAATCCACTTCATTTGATTGTAATTTGTTCAGCATCCAAATTAGGATATGAGCATGCGGTAGTCCACGCTTCTGTCATTCCACCGAGTACATATAACAACGTGTGTCACCAAAAACTCGATACTTAGTGAGCACACCCATTATAACCTTGAGTTTTTGCTTGATATTGATTTTACGCTGGACGACAATGTCTCGCGATTTAGTTGGATCGCCAACAATAATTGCAGCAACATCATTAACGGTGGGTCCATTGAATCTTCGCACAGGTTCACCTGTGGGTCTACAATCCGCTCTTATGACAAATTTATGCGTATCCGATGGCATTAGTTTTACTGCTGTTTTGAACATAATAACCACAACTTTATTGGCCTATTTAATAATTCGTCTATTTAACTGTTGTGTTCCCTGTATATTGCACCGCACATTCAGCTGATCTACCATCGACAAAACTAAATATATTTTCAGAAATTGATGCGGTTCATCTGGTGTTGGCACGTTTGAACCATGCAAATGATATATTTGTCTTTGTATCTGTAATTGCAAACAATCATTTTTTGAAGAATACGGTGAACCTTTTACCTTGCAAGTCGGCATGGAGCCGCCTTCTCGAATGATATTAGCTCCAAAAGAAGTCATGCGAACGCAGTTACTGAATTCAAGAATGTTTTGAAGAAAATGGGTGAAATCGGAATCGTTTCTCATTTGAACTTTAACGCATTACAATATCGGCATATGGTCGTCTTCGGTCCTATATCTAAATTTTCATCATCACTGTAGTTCGCAATGTGATCATATTGGAATGTCAAGCGACCGATGCGGCGGCCGATGTTAGCAAGACGTCATTTAGGCATTTTGGACAATGAACAGAGCGATGAATTTAACCTCATAACCATCATACGATCCACATAATTAACAGATTTCAACTTACCATCTTAAACACGCTGTTGAAATTGATAACAATTTGCATAATACACTTTCTTTATTTTATTGTTTCCAATTGAAATGTTAGAAAACGACTACTTAAAATATTGGTTTGTAGTACATGCTATATACCAGAGATGTATTTCCCGCTTTTTTGTTGAAATTTTTCCGAAATTTTCTTAGCTCTAAACCAAGCGGATTCCGAGACCTTTTCAACGAATGCAAAACCGTGGAAATCGGTTCGTGCGTTCTGGAGTTAAATGGTCAGGAAGGACAACCCGACATATTTTTATATAGTAGATTACAACCGACTCTTTGATAATATTCATGGCATTGAAAGGCTTCCGAAACTAAAAACCTTTTTTACTTGTAGAATTAACTCGAAATCAATCCTTATTGTCCTTGTTCTATTAACTACCGTTGGATGTTTTAAATTACATTGAATTTCGGTTGTCAGCTTTATCAGGGACTGACACGATGGGTACCCCAAGGGAGTAAATACATAGGTAATGCCACAGGGGCCACCATGTTCTTTCGCGGACCAGACATAGATCCATCCGTATCATATCATCCGAGTTCCTTGTTCAGGTATTCCAGATTGCTATAATATTAAGGGACCTGGGACTCAATGTTGCCACTTTAGCTTTTTCCCCGTAAAATGTGCCTTTTTTGAAAGATCAGAAGATCAGCGCATTTAGTTAAAAATACTAGAAAGTTGGATGGCGTTAGGAAATTTCTGACGGCACCTTTAGTATTTCTCTATCAGGGTGCGAAAGAGAATACAATTTTAATAAAACATACTGTTCTAGACCATTTTCCTCTCGCTCTAACATTCAGTTTCTCGATATATTTCATATTATGGATCCTACCATGAACAATAATGTGTGTAAACGATACAAATTCAGAAGAGTTACACAGTAAATATAAACACCAAGTATGAACGTGAACATGAACGTGTCTTAAGATTCAAAAGAGCCAAAATAGTTTACCCCTCATGCCTTACTTACGCCGGTGGAAAATATCATCTGTGGTTTTTGCCCATGGTACATTTTTCGGTTCGGTTTTTAGTTAATGTTATCGAAGGCCCGTCGAGTGTTTCTGCAGCCCTGGTTCTTGTGTTCGGCTAAAAAAAATTGTGTATTATTTGAAGCTAAAGAACTGAAAATAAACCTACATATTTATTAAATTGCTGTTTCTATAAAACAAGTTAAAGTTTGACAAAATGGCACCAAAGTGATGTCTAATATAACGTCTGTTAAGATATGTTGACATTTTACTGTAACATTCATTATACGGCAAATGTGTGTACATATGTTTATATATATGTATGTTTATGAAATGTGAAATAGTGTTTCTGTACAATATTCTTAATATTTGTTTGGTAACAGAAAAATTTTAAATATATTGAATAACTCCAATAAGCAAAATGTCTTATATACTCCCATACATACATATATGTATATGTAACATACTAAAAATAAAAGCGAACAATAAGCCCACACAATAGTCAGCAGTTCAAAATAATAAACATATTAATTGGAAATAAGTTTGTAAATATCTTTTCTTCTCTGAAATGCAAACTTAGTGATTTTTTAAACCAAAACAAAGCTGTGGAAGTATAAATAACAGCGATAACAGATATCTAAGAATCATTGTACATATGTATGTATGTAGTATGTATACCTAAAAATTATGGTTGGTTCATTAGCGCTCATATTGAACTGTCTGGCAAAAACTCAATTCGAAAAACTACTACTGCTGTCGTGGAAAACATTTTAAACAAAAAACTAATCTTCAAAGCACCAAACGCAAATAAATCATCTCCAACGATAATGTCTATACCTCAGCTTAAGGTCCAGCAAATGATTAACCGAAACTCGACAGCCATCCAGGCTAGTCTCAGTACTCATCCCAATTCCCATAGTTCAAGCCAACATCAAGGGTGTCGTGGAGGCAGGCAGCATGTTCAATATTTCAGCAGGAGCTTTGGCTCATCAGCTTTTCTTTATAATCGCCAAGAAGGGAGACAGCAAGAGTTATCAGATCCTGATCCAAATCCAGATACGCTTGCCAGCAACTTGAATTTACAGCAGCGCAGTTCGACTTCCGATGGCTGTGAACTCTCTGTATCTTCTCAAGGTAAATAATAATACGCTTTATAAAATTAAAGTTAATAATTTTATTAAAAATTTCAGCCATATTGCTACCAAATGTAACGGGCAGTTTAACAAAAACGGAGGTTCCCAATTTAAGTTTAAGCACTACTATCTCAAGCAGCTGCTGTAAGGCTACGGCACAACCTGAACCCGAGGAAGAGAATCCCCAACCGATGGAGAGTCAAAGTTATTTATTTCACGAGCAAATCATCATGTCTGGCCACCAGAAAAGTGCTCTGCAGGATAAGCCAAAAGTACTCGTCGTTTCGCCTCAGCAAGTTATGATCTTGTATATGCATAAGCTAACTCCCTACGAACGTACGGAAATACTGGCCTATCCACAGATATATTTTATAGGGGCAAATGCAAAGAAGCGTCCCGGTATTTATGGACCTAACAATTCGGATTATGATAATGAACAAGGGGCTTATATACATGTTCCGCATGATCATGTGGCGTATCGTTATGAAATGTTGAAAATAATTGGTAAGGGCAGCTTCGGACAAGTGATAAAGGCCTATGATCACAAAACCCACGAGCATGTTGCTCTTAAAATTGTGCGTAACGAGAAGAGGTTTCATCGTCAGGCACAGGAGGAGATCCGAATTCTTCATCATTTGCGGCGACATGATAAATATAATACAATGAACATTATCCACATGTTCGATTACTTTACATTTCGCAATCATACTTGCATCACATTTGAGCTTCTTAGCATTAATCTTTACGAATTGATTAAAAAGAACGGGTTTAAGGGCTTTAGCCTTCAGTTGGTCCGAAAATTTGCACATTCGTTGCTTCAATGCTTGGATGCTTTGTATAAAAGCGATATTATCCATTGTGATATGAAGCCGGAGAATGTTCTACTAAAGCAACAAGGTCGTTCGGGTATAAAGGTGAGATATATATGTAGAACATACTATTTGCAATATCTATGATCTATATTATAATAGTTATATTTGTTAATTATTTTATCGGATCGGATCGGACGACTATATCATATAGCTGCCATAGGAACAATCGTAAAATTTTTACAAAAAAAAGAAGATTATGACTTTTTCAGTTTGCAACAGATTTTCTAAATTGATACAGCCATTTTATATTGTTCTACAACTTTGTGTAAAATTTTATAAAAATCGGACTGCTATATCATATAGTTGCCATAGAAACGACCGAAAAATTAATACAATTAAAAATAATAACTTTTTCAGTTCTCAACAGATTGTTATCAAATTTGAAATATAGACACAATTATATATTATTCTTCAATCGTTTTTAAAATTTTTTTTAAGAATCGGACGACTATATCATATAGCTTCCATACAAACTTCGGCGTGCCGAAGTTAGCTTCTTTTCTTGTTACAGTTAAATTTTTACATTCATACTATTGCTTTTTCCTCTATATATAATAATTGTTTGTTTTTGATATCTATAAGAAATAGTCGTCTGTCTTATATAAGATTAAAATCGTAATTCTTGGATAATAGAAAAGGCTGCAGATGCTGACAAAAAAAATTTGCTATATATACTATAATGGATCGGAAATTTCTCCTTTAGTGCGTTGCAAACTTCTGACTGAAATTATAATACCCAGCAGGGCATTTCTTTCGTATCTCCACAACTCACGAAACAAAATTGTTTGTTTTTTTTAGTATAGTATATTTAAGTAGTATAGTGTTTCAGTAGCATGGTATTTTATTTTAGTAGTATAGTATCGTAAATTTTAGTTTAGTATAGTAAATTGTATTTATGATACTATTTCTATATATATTTTGAATCTTGCTTGAACAGGTGATTGACTTTGGGTCGTCTTGCTTTGAAAATCAACGAATCTATACATATATACAGTCACGTTTCTATCGCGCTCCCGAAGTCATATTAGGCTCAAAATATGGCCGCGCCATTGATATGTGGTCATTGGGTTGCATCTTAGCGGAATTGCTATCGGGTCATGCCCTGTTTCCAGGCGAAAATGAAAGCGATCAGCTGGCATGCATTATTGAAGTGTTGGGAATGCCAAATAAAAATATTTTAGCTAGTTCGAAGAGATCTAAATCATTTTTTAGCCCAAAGGGATATCCCCGCTACTGCACTGTCCGCACCATGTCCGATGGCATGGTGGTTCTAATCGGTGGTCAGTCCCGTAGGGGCAAGCCACGCGGTCCTCCTTGCTCCAAGAGTTTATCCAAGGCACTTGATGGATGTAAGGATCCACTGTTTCTCAATTTCATACGCGGCTGCCTAGAATGGGATGCAGAGAAACGATTGACACCATCGGAAGCATTAAAGCATCCATGGCTGCGTCGTCGGCTGCCCAGGCCGCCGAGCACTACAAGTGGCGGTTGTAATACAAGCGGTAATCAGTCCCCAGTAACAGGTATGTACAGGAAAATTTTTATAATATAAATATGTATATATATTTAAATTCTTGTTTTAGGTGTAAACAAATGCTCCGCAAATGAAGTAACAAATACAAATTCTTCAACATCGGCCACATCCATTTCATTGACTATTGAAAGGGACAACGAAAATATGCATTCAGATTTAAAACTCTCAAAACTTTTTAACTTAAATGTCAACGAAGGCGAATTAATGACTAGCAAAGACACGGATATCTTAGAAGAGAGTTTAAAAAAGGCCAGCGTTAATGATATCTCGCCACGATTATTATTACCATCAACGACAGTGCATTCAGCGGATTCTGCTGAAACATCTAGATATTATCCAGCATCTCTGCCCTATTTACCTCATTTAATGAACAATAATGGAATGAATAGTAAACAGAACAATTCATAGTTTTAATTTTATTAAAAATATATATCTGTATTTTTAGGATTTACTGGCTCTCTAAACAGCTCGGCCAACTCTTTGACCCAACTGGAGCATGTCACAAATTTGGATATCTTGCAAGATTACTCCTCGACCTCAAGCACGCCCAATTTAAAGGAGAAAGATACAGGTTCTGTATATGCCATAAATACAGCTAACGAGTCCATAGCTAACCTGGATAGTAGTGCTTATGATATGGATAAATCCATCGAAATTATTAGTGGTAACTCTAATCTATCAAGTATAAGAAATGATATGTAGCCAATTCCTGACAATATCAAATATTTTGCCATTTTAATGATCATGCAAAGCGCAGTTCGTCATGCTTGTTATTGATTTGATTTATTATTTAAAAAAGGGCACTGCCAATAAAAAGTGATACAAAATGAATATATAAAATTTCAAATCAAGTCGTGCACATAAATACATACAAAAACAAAGATCTCACAATGGTTAAATTCAAATTTGAATATAAATGCATTTTAATTACAAAAAGAAGTGCTACTATAAATGTAGCCCAATTTGGATGAGAACGTTGTATCAAAAATCTAACCTTATTTTTAAAAATTAATACAAATATTTATATGCATAGGTATGTATATGCATAAATATGTAGGAGTTATCATACACTGCATATGCAATTCTGATAAATTTCGGATTAAAGAAAAAGCAAGAAATATACAATTTCAATAATAATCAATACGATATAAATTATATATACTTATGTTAAAACACAACAACGTAATGACTTCTCTTATTATTTTCGACTATACTTAATATTTTTAAATATATATTTAGTTATAATTTGTGTTGCATTAGTTCCCCAAAAGTTCCAGTGGCAGCTATATGATATAGTAGTCATACTTCTAAATAAAATTTAAATACCGTGCAAGGGTATAAAAAAGATATATGTATATCGGTTGGATAAGAATATAAATAAGTAATTGTAAAACGAGATTCCTAAATAATTCGATTTATTAATTTATATTTTATTCAAATAAATTTAAAGTTAAGTTATAATAATAAAGTCAAACAAATAAATGCTTTTCATCTGCTCTTTGTTTAATCGGATGGATCAAAAACAAATAGTTCTTGTGACAATATTTGTATTGTTAAACTAATTCCAAAAATGTATTTAATTTAAGTTAAATGTAAAGTCGCGTTCAAGATATGAATCAAAGAGGATCTAAAGTGTAATTTTTAGTAACAAAAAAAATAAAACAAAGGCCTTATTTCAATATCTAAATTGTTTACATGCTTAATACCAATAAACAAATAAATTTAAAACAATAACTTTGAGCAACTGATTTTATTTAAAAGTAGTATGTTCTTTTTCTATATTTTTGAGAAAAAAAGTCGACTAACTAAATTAATTTATTTTTATTATGGTTTGTATTTTAATAACGTCCGACCGGATTCCTATTTACGTTTGTTAAGTCTATTTAACTCTCTGCTGGTTTTTTGTTTCTTTTTATACCCTTGCAGGATATTATAAATTCGGTCAGATGTTTGAAACGCAGTGAAGGAGGCACCTCCGACCATATAAAGTATATATATTCTTGATCAGAATCATCAGCCGAGTCGATCTAGCCATATCCGTCTGTCCGTTTCTACGCAAACTAGTCTCTCAGTTTTGAAGCTATCTGAATGAAACTTTGTAGTTAGTCTTCTATATACTCTCACTTGTATATGTACATATATGTCGGAACGGGCCGGATCGGACGACTATTTCATATAGCTGCCATACGAATGATCGAAAAATTTTTACAAAAAAAATCTAACATTTTCAGTTTTCAACAGAATGTAATTAAATTTGAGATATAGCCATTTCATAATATTCTACAATTTTGTGTAAAATTTTATGAAAATCGGACAACTATATCATATAGCTCCCATAGGAGCGATCGAGAAATTAATACAATAAAAAATTAAACATTTTTACAGTTTTCAATAGGTTTTCATCAAATTTGAGTTACAGCAATTTTATATTAATCATAAATTATGTGTCAAATTTCATGAAAATCGGAAGACAATATCAAATAGATGCCATACAAACGATCGTTTGATGTAGAGGAAAAATGCAAATATAAGAATGTAAAACTGCAAATATAATATTTATAGGTGAATGAAATGAAAGCTGCTATTACTTCATTGTTTTAACACAAATATAATTTATATTGTATGGAATCCTAGTCATAGAAGTGTTATCTGCAAGGGTATATAAACTTCGGCGTGCCGCAGTTAGCTTACTTTCTTGTTTAGTTTAATGTAAAATACTTGATTTATACTAATAATCATTAAGTGGTTAAATTCTTCCCACAGAGATCCTTTCTCCCTCTGCTGAATGGATGGTACAATAGGTTTTGCCGTTCCGAAATTTCTCATTTTGTTCTCCATCCTAATGTGAAGGGCTTGTTTTGCCGATAGTTAGGCGATAGTTCTTCGATGTATGATAGTTTTTCCTGTAAGCTATCAAAGTTTAAGCATTCACTAAGAAAATATAAACAAAGATAGTAATATGAAAGGCGCCAAAGTTAGTGGGTGTTTCTCGTATATTCTAGACCCAAATTGTCTCGAATTGCTACTATTTTATTAATTTTATATTATTATAATTACTCCTATTTCTGGTTTATTTTAAATAGATTTTGTGGGTCTATACAACAAGGTACTCGCTTCAGGGCATTTAAGAATCGCTAATTCCTCGTCATCTAACTCATTTTGATCTATGTACATGTTTTATGTTGTTGAACAGTAAAAAATAGTTATTAACTTATTCCGCAGTAGCCATTTAAACAAACATTGTTTATATGATAGATTTGTCACAGCTGTTCAATCAGCTGCCTTTGGATAGAAAAAGGAGATGTAGCTGTGTGGGAATCGGAGTTTCACATCTGCGAAAAATCTCAACTTTTTCACACGGATGGACTGTGTGAAACACACAGTATTATTATTAAAACAATCATGGTAGGAAAATTAGGGGAAGGCGTTAGAAAATTTATGACGTTCTTATTTGCAGCTACTTTACATGTGTATATTTAAATTATAGATCCCACCACGAACAAAAATATGTGAAAAGATGACATTAGAAGATCCTAAGAGCTTCTCGCCTCACCATACCGTACTTAATGCATTGTCAATGCATTAGCCAATGTATTAAAAGTGCCGCATAGTCGTCTTGCTCGCATTTGTGTAAAACCTTATGTAGCTTTCAAATCTGTTAGTTACACCACTTACAACTCAAGAACGGCAGAACAGAATTGGATGAAAATTGGTAGGGAGGAGGAGCTTAGAGCCGGGAGACGGACATAAAATACTTTTTTTTTTAATTCTTTCCAAAGAGTAGAAGTTCAGCGTGTAAGTAGCAAGCTTGGGAACAACACGAGAAAAGAGAGACCTTTTGCGTCCTGCCATTCAGATAACTTAAGATCCAATGAAGAAGATCAACTGGAAAACCCATTACATTGAGTTTCCTAACGAGGAGAAAATGGTTAACGGAGTCACTGAAATCAGCGTAGATTTAATCTGTCAGAAAATTATTATGGAGGCCCTTTAAATATAGGAAGAGAGCTTTGATGTTGTTGATCTTTTCTTATTAAAATCATGTTGACATGAAGAAATAACTGATCGACAAAGGTGCTGCAAGTGAGGAGTAATTATGTTTTCGATCAGTTTTGGGATAGCCGATAACTTAGAGATTCCTCTATAATTGCTGGCATCCAATTTGGTAACTTTTTTGTGGAGAGGAATAATAAAGAAGTCCTTCCAAATAATGGGAAAGTGGGAGGTTACTAAAGATAAGGTAAAAAACTGGCTTGACACGGTGAAGATCGAAAAGAAGAGAGATTTCGTTTAGACTAGGATTGAAAATTAAGCTTGATTTGGGTATGACGTAGGAATAAGTCTGATTTAAATTCGAATAGTTTCCATAAGCTGCGAAAATAGATCGGCTATTGCTTGATCATTATTTGCCGTAGTATTTTCAAATCAGAGCGGGGAAGGATTTGTTTTAGGCTTCCGTTTAGTGTTAACTAAATTATACAATTCTTATGGTTACTGGGAGAACTGGACCCTACAACGAGTTAAATAGCTTTTATAACACTGCGCGGTAAAGTTTGATCGAGCTAATAAATAAGTTGAAAGGGCAGATTGAGAAGCGGTAGTTTTAAATTTAGCATACAGCCTAGATTTTGTATTTTTATGTCGGGCCTTCTTTAGTAAATCACGGAGGTTTATTCGAGATAGGCGGATAGTATAAAGGAACACATTCAGTAAAAAATGAGTGCATGGCATTGTAAAAAACATCCACGGAAATTGCCATGTAATGTTCAACGGTCAGATATATTCGCTAAGTCAGACCCAATGTCAAGAGTCACATAGAAAAAAGAATAATAAGGATCTTCAGGTTGCGTCAGAGGCGCCACCTTGGCTGGCTAAACTAACTCTTGCCGGATCAGAGACAAAACAAAGATAGAGCAAGCGTTATAAGGAATTTCGTACATGGATGACTTGAGACAGCAAAATGTCGAACAAGCCAGCGATAAAGTCATTTTGTATAGAGGTTAGGAGAGTATTGGTGGAATTAGTTGAGCACCAAATGGCACAAAGGATATTCAAATCACCTAGGACTACCAACTTGAATAAAAATTGAGCTGCCATTGATAGATTTAACATCGTTGCATTCCTCGAAAGTTGTTAATTTTAAGTGAGCAACCGCTATATGAACTCCACCCCAGCCCCTGACAGAGCGATCTAGCCGATATACTGTGACCACAGCTGGGAAAACTTTGGAGCTCAGAATCTCTGTCTATGTCCATGAAGAATGCGAAAGGTCATATGCTATTACCAATATTCGTACAGTTTTAATTTAAATTATCGCTTTCTAAAATGTCTCGTGCGGCCGGGACTAAAATTTAATTTAAAAAAGAACTACTTAATATTTTAAAATCAAACAAAGTACATGATTAAGATAATTCATTGCATAATTTATTAAAATTTATTGTAATACAATTTCTCATCACTTTTCGCTGAAATCAGAGCTGATTTCTCGCAAAATGTAACTTCTGTTTTTGTCGCATGCGAACGCAGTACATTTTAGTGAATTTCTTGTAAACGAACAAGGATTTAAAATCACCCTTATTAAATCAACAGTTTTACCTTTCCTTCACCTTTTGCCAGATAATGCATATATTACTCCAAATTCCTTCAAATTTTTTAGTCAAACAAAAAACACCCAACACGGCCTATATAATAAGGAAACGGAGAGTGCAAGAGAACATATGTGTTTCGACTTATTTTCATAAATGTTTCATCAACCGAGAGCAAATGAAAGCCGTCTGAGAGCGTTGCATTTCTGTAGTTAAAAATAATGTAATTTTAACTAAATTAAACAA